AAGAGACAGATGGAACAGAAAAACAGAAAAAAACGAAGAAGCGGGTTCTGAAAATGATTATTTAATTGCTGGGAAAAATGATGATGATCTCGGTTGATTGATGAATTGATGAACAAAAATCACTATTATAGGTTTCTTAAGGTATAGTTTCTAAAATATTTATTTAATTTCTTATATAATCTTAGGGCCCTATGGAGTATTTCCTTAAAATTCCAGTTAACTTCAGAGTTGAAGTTCCGTGGAAAGTTGACATTTGTACGAAGGCGATCGACCCAAAGTACACCTACAACAGTTATTTGCTTTATGATTAGACAAGAGAGCCGAGCCGAGCCGTTCCATATGCAAATAATATGTATTTAACCCTCTTCTGGCTGTTTTCTTTTCCTTTTCAAAACTTGTCAAATAAAAGATATAGATATTTACGTGGTATGTACATAAAATATATGAGATATTTCTTCTTTTTTTTTTTGAAAGGAAGTTGACCCATTCGAAGGTAAATAAAACATGGCTTACATGGAAAAAAAAATCAGAGCTTGGTAGAGAGACGACAAGAAAGTATCTTTAAGATGTGAAGTATCTTTTAGAAAAAATATGTAATGCCGTCGGTAAAATAAACTCAAACCGCCAACTTTAATAAAAATCCATTTTAATTTTTCATTTTCGAAAAAAAAGGTGGGCTTACAAATCTGAGAGAGCATGCGCAGTCAGCAAAAGCGAGAAAGAGAGCGCGAAACACAGGGAGAGAGAGAGGGAGACTAAGCGAGAGAGAGAGAGAGAAAAGCAAAGGAATGAAAAGCAAAGAGCGACCACCTGTCCGAAACTGACAACAAAAGCGAAACGAAGGAAGATATTAAAAAGGAAGCCGAAGAATACAAGCCATGGCATGGCCAGACCTGAATAGGAAAGGGAAGAACAGGAGAAGCAAGGAGCAGGCACACAAAGAAACAAAAAGCGAAAAGCCAGAAACCAGAAAAAGGCTTAAACTTTGAAGTATTAAGGGAAGGGTTTTGAGATTTAAGGATTTTAAGATTTACTTTTTTCAAAACAATAAGAAAAATTAGAAAAAAATTAAAATAAAATTTAGAAAATGACGTATTAAATAATTAAAATTTTTGAAAATATTTTTTAGATGATTATGAGCTCAATAATACTTTATATTATCAATTATATTATCAAGTATTAACATTTTTAGGAATAATTGAAGAAAATCAAAATATTACTCAATTTCAAATAATTTACTTTAAATATTTGTACAAAAATTTCGTTTAAAATAAAGTTAAAATTATGAAAAATACCTCAAACATTTTAAATAAAAATCCAAGATTTTAATACCTTAATTTCTAAAAGTATCCATAAGATACAATTTCTTAAAAGAAGACTTCAAAACCCCTATATCTCAAAACTACATAATTCAACTTCAAATCTTTATAGTTTTGAAAAATTTCCAAAACAATTGGAAAACAAAAAATTTTCGAAAAACCACGCAATATTTTCGTTTCTCTTCCGCCGCCTACCACCTTTATCCTGTCTTCCCTTTTGATCCTGCACTTCGTGATCGGAGCTGGCCGTCGAGGTTTATGTTTTGTCGGATTTTTGTTGGTAATTTATTTTTTTTTTGCTTTTTCGCTTTACTTACCAGTTCCACCATGGACGGTGTTTGGCAAATTCGCAAACGCCAGCGTCAGCAGCAGCAGCGATGGCAGCAGCGACGCCGACCGGGGCAGAGCTAACATTTTGCTAAGAATCCAGGTGCTTACTACTGCTCGACTGCGACGTCGGCTGCGCTGCAACTGCATTGTAATCCAGTTTCCAGTTTACCAGTTTTTCGTATTTTTTTTTCGTCTTCTGTTTCTTAGTTTTTTTTTTGTCTTTAATGCCTTTTTCGTTGTTTTTCTTCTACACTCTTTTGAGATTCTTTTGCTGAGTTTTTAGATTTGAGTTTTTCTTTTTTTAATATTTTATTTTATTGTTTAAAAATCACTTGTTTTAAGTGGGGAGATCCTTTTTTATTTAATATTTTAATTGATAAATTAAAAGTAGATGCTCTCCCGACGATGGCGACATTTTATTTTTATGTCATAACTTTAAACAGCAAAAAAAATTGTAAAAAAAAAATAGATATAGATATATAGATTTCTTCTTTTTTTTAAGAAATTACTATATATTTTTTTTGTTGCTGTGAGGATCGGTGCTGAAATTCAAATTTCAAACCGACGCCACACGAGATGCTAGCTCGCTTGCTATCTCTTTCTCGCGCGCACACTCACACACACGCACGCGTCCGGGCGCACACACACACACACGGCCGCCGCGTTTCTCGAAATGTTGTTAACCGAGGTAGTAGACACACTTTTCCGTAAATCCGAGTTTTTAAAGATATCCTTTTTTTTATTAAATTATTTTAATATTTTTATTAAAATTCAGCGACTTATTTGATTTAGTTGCGCTTTTGGAAGCGTTTTCGTAGCGTTTTTAAACGCCATATTCTCTGGCTCCTGTTTCGGTTGATTGTCGGTTGTTTCTTTTTCGCTTGTTATTCGTTATCCTTGTGCAATCACTTTCAAAAAAAAATAATATATTCGTTTTAGATTCGTTTTATTGCGCTGATAGCTTTATTATTTTATTTTGAATTTTTTTAAATTAATATAATCCGTGCGTGTGTTTTTATTTTAAATATTTTTGTGCTTGGTGGTTTTTAGTTTTCAAACGAGCGCACACACGACCGCCAGCGCCGAAGTTCGTTGAGAAAAAAAAACACTGGAGCTGCCCGTCTGCCATCTGTTTGTATCGAAATATCGATAGCCCGATCGGCAGTATTTTCTGGTATTTTACTCTCTGCTCACTCGGAGAGAGAGTATTGTGGAGATGGGTGCGAGCGAGAGGCGAATACTGCTTTATCGATAGCTGCCACCACTTGAGCTCTCTCTCGCCGATCCGACGCTCTCGCGCCATCGCTCTCTCTCGCTCGCTCTGCCGCTGCGGCTGCGCTTAGGTGGTTGCATGCACCCTGACCGAGGGCTCTCTCTCCCATTCTCTCAGGCTTAAAGACGCAGGCTCTCTTGGCTAGTGATGCGCGGCTTTAATTGTTTCCGCTAGAACTAGCATTTTTTTTTACAAGATTTACTTATTTAAAAAAAAAAGGGTTTGTGTGGAATATTAATTATTATAGGACTGTTAAAATATATTACAAACGTAAGGAACTACATGAGTCTGAATCATTATCAACTTCTTTTAATAAAAGAATTAATTAATTTAAAATAAATCTGATGTAAAATTGTATATTAAATTTATAAATTTATAGAAATATAGGATCAGAGACTCTCTTGTTTATCAATGCTATAGAATTTTCTTAAAAAGTTACAATTTCTTAGAAAGATCGCAGCCGACAGCACTGATTCTCAAGCTCTCTTCAAAATACTGGTTTCCTCTCTTGCAATTCCCGGCTGAAAGTTGAGATGCACTTGCAGTCTTCATCCTTTTATGCCTATCGATGAATATCGATAAGACCTTAGTAGCGGGAAATTTAAATTAAAAAAGATCAATTACCCAAATAAAAAAAAGGCACATTTTTAGCATTTTGAAATATTTTATTTCATTCGTTTTTTTTCTTTTATTTTTATTTCAACTAATTTGAGATTTTCTCGACTTAAGATTTAATTTAATCCTCATTTTCCTTGCCTTTTGCCCGCAATTCATTCTTAGTTCTTTTACAATTCATCATTTTTCCTTTTTTCTTTGCTCTCTGCACTTCACAATTACTATTTTTTTTTTCGGTAATTATTATAATTTACTTGGCTTAGTAGGATTTTCATTTAATTTTTTTTGTTTTTTTTTTTAGTTTTATCATTTTGTTTTTAACATCTATGTAATTGAACTCTTAATTGAATCGTTTGACAATTTATCCCAAAAAAATTGAACATGTTTTTTCAACTCTGATTTATTTGATGATTTATCCTGTTGTTTTTTTATTTTTAAATATTTTTTTTTTTTGTAAAAAGCTCTGCGCAATAGCCCAAGAAAAGAATATAGAATAGATTCGATTGAAAAACATGAACGTAAATGAAAAACATTTAAAGCATTTTCTTTCTCGGTATATTTACTCTAGATAAGTACGTATTTATATTTTAGACAATACACACAAAAAAAAATTGGCTTAATGAATTAAGAACCCAAGAAGGAATCATAAGGCAGCATTTTGTGTTAAAATTTTTACGCTTTACATTTACTTATCGATTTTTTTATTCAATTTTTCATATTTGGTAGATCGCTCAAATGTTTTACAAATTCTTGCTAAGCTTTTTGTTGTTCAAATTTGTTTTTATTTATTTTTAAAACTGTTTACATTTATTTTTTTGTTTTCTTTTCGTTTTTTTTTTATAAATAGGCTTATACCACTAAGCAGAAAAAAAACACAAAAAAAAAAATTTGTTTATTTTTATCATTCATTCTAAATCTTAGCTAGTCATTTTTAATTCAAGCGTTGACATTACACATTTATGCTCTAAATATATATATATACGATATACAATATTTTCTTTGTTTTTTTTTTTTACATAATTGATTTAAAGTTTAATTTAATTTAATTTCTTAGGAGCTAGACAAAAAAAGTTTTACGTTTTCACATGGATGCTGGATGCTGTGGCCTTTAGAACCCGATCAAGGATTTTCGGTGCTATATGTATTGTGATGTATATTTTGAAAAAACACCAATATTTTACATTTAAATATTTGATTTTAGTGTTGTTTTGTGAATTTGAAAAATATGCGGGTACTTTACCATTTTTTTAGAATGATACTTTTGAAATTGTGTCTATATGTTCATATTTTTTTATTTTTGGCCTATCTTGACCGGGTAAAAGGTCAAATTCAGCACTTACTCTAAAGGTTTTCTCACTGCATTCAGTTTTCCTCATAATATATATATTTAATATATATTTAAGTCTAAAAATTTGATAAATTTTGGCTTAGAAAATGTTTTTTTTTTTGCTTGCTTTTTTTTCAGTTTACTTGGAACTAACTACAGGCATTTTATAATTATTTTCATATTGAATTAAATTGATTTTCTGTTTTTTTTGTTTCATTCTTTTTTAAAATTGTATGCAACGCGCTGTTTTAAAATGAACTTTTGAAGTTTTGTAGTTGGTTTTTTTAAATGTCGTTCTTTTTTTTATTTCGTGTTCGATACGTTTCGTTTAATTGATATATGATTCTTTTTAGGGGGTTTGGGGGGACAAGGTCCCATAGACCCACTCGATAAGTAGCTTAAAATTTGCACTAGTTGATATAATTTGCCTTCTCACTTTTTCATCGAGTTTCGCCATAAAATAATTAACGCTATAAATCACAATACGGTTTTTGTTTTCTTATCTGTTTTTTTTTTCAGTGTATATATATATATATATTGAATTTTTTTCTCAAGTTGTATAAACTATTTTTCTCTCAAGGCTCAGGGATTTAAAAAAAAAATAATAAATAGCAGGGAATATTTTTTTCAAAAATTTCAATAATTTCTTGGCTGTAGCCTTAGGAACAACTGTGCAAAAAATTTGCTTATAAATTAGAAGTATTTTTTTTTTGAGTGCATAAAAAAATAAGTATTAGCCTTGGAAAAAAAAATAGTTTACAAAATTGAGGAGTATTATGCTACTTTCGATTAATAATCGATAAAAAAAAACATTCATACACTCGTTCTCTTAGTTGGCTAAAAGTTGTCCATTTTTTTCGGTTTTTTGAAATTACTATTTTCATTACAAATTAGAATACATTTACGAATGGCTAATGGCTCTATAATGCGCTTTATTTATAGGGTGTATATGCATTCGGTTAATCGACTGATTTCTCGATATATTTTATACGATATAAATATATCGTTGCGAAAGGAATTCTCCTCCAATTTAAACATGTGTGGCCAGAGGTCCTTTTTGTGTATGCCCTTTGCCATTGTTGGGCAGGATAAATTGCCCGGACGGACTCTGGGCACACTGACCGCCCAAGCCGCCTCCTGCTTGGGGCGTGGCCGCCAATGTATTACTGCTGGCGGTTAAATTCGAACTGCTGCCGCTAACGCTGCCTCCGGCTCCGGCCCCCCCGCCAATCCCCATCCCAACGCCACCCATGCCGCCCATTCCGCTGGCCAAGCTAACGGCTGTCGAGGATCCTCCAGTTCCGTTTCCGCTTCCGCTCAAATTTCCCACCGGACTCGTGTTGAGAACGGCATTGGCGGCGCTGCCGCTGCCAAAATGCTTCAGCCCGCCGTTCATGTGATGGGCGTGGCCGTGGCGGGCGGCATGGTAGGGCGGTGGGGCGGGTGTGGCCGCCGGATTGGCGGTGCTGGGCGGCGGGAGGGGTGGGAGGAGGGAGGAATTCGTCCGGAGATAGGGATTCCCGTAAATGGCACTGAAGCGACTGTCGATGCCATTTTGTAGCAAAGGTTGTCCTGAAAAAGTAATAAGAGGTTATCGATTATTATCGATTATTTTTTAGGAGAAAATCGTTAAGATATCGATATTATTCAAAGATATCGATAGTCTTAATTAATAGTTGGTAAAAAATAACGGCCATAAATGATAGTAGCTTAAAAAAAATTAGGACCTTATCGATACTATATCGATTATTTTTATGAGAAACATGAATCTTGCAAAAGTACCGATAGTATCGATTATTTTTATACAAAAACACCATTAAAATATCAATAATGATTAAAATGTTACTAAAGTCTTGTTTAAAAGTTAAAATCAAGAATGATCGGTATTATCGATAAAAATCAATTATTCTTTTATCGAAAAAATTAAAAAAATAAATCGAACTCTTACCTAGGAATCCATTTGTTTGAGACTGCTGCAGTTCATGGCGCTGATTTCTCGGCAAACTGGCACCACCACCAGCACCAACTGCTCCACCAGCTGCCCCACCATTGGCGCCACCACCACCATTTCCCGAGGCAGCTGAATGCGGCAAGGTGGCCGAATTCATGCCACCGTTCTTCGACTTCCCGGACATCTCGCCCGGCGGACTGTAGTCCAGAGCATACTCGAAATAGTGGGCATAGCCATTGGCCTGTGGAGTCTCCTTGTACGAGGTCTCCTGTTGATTCTTCAGATTCTTGATGTGACACTGGCGATTATAGCGATCGCCGCCAAAGTCACCGGAGAAACGTTCATCGAACTTGACGGGTCCTGCCAGCGGTACACCCAAGGTGGCGCCCTTCATCTGGACATCGGGCATCGGGGATTGGTTCAAGTTGATGGCCAGTCCATCGCCACCCGCCTCCGAGTACTCCACATCGTAGGCCTTCGATCTGAGCTCCGATTTCAGTTCATTCAGTTTATCGCCACCGCGAGACGCCTCGGGTATCACATCTGCGGGCATCGGCTTCTTGCGACTCCTGCGCTTCCGATAAACGATAATAATCATCACGATCATCAGGATAATGGCGACGGAGAACGTTGAACCCATTACGACCAATAGAACCGGAATATTACCGGGTTCTCGGAGTAAACTAATCACCAGCGAATCAGCACCATACGAGTTCATCACCGTACAGTTGTACTTCCCAAAGTGCGATGCCTTACTATCGCGGATTATGAGAGCAGCTCTCACGCCCTCCGGCAAGTGGTGTTCCTCAAAAATATAGATATCCGGATCGGCACTGCTCATGTTAATGACCTTGCCCTCAAAGGACCAAAGGATATGCTCCGCCTTGGGGATACTGAAGGCCAAACAATCGATTTTCACGCGACTTCCCACGCCTCCAAACTGCACCTTGTGGGAGGTGATGATGGGTGCCCTTTTCACATAAATCGTGGCCTCCGCCCCGATCTCCGGAAATCCATTAACAACTGCCTTGCAGAAGTACCTTCCAGCGGTCTCACTACTGACTTTTATTTTCAGTTCAGCTTCTTGACTAACAATCTAATGGAAGATAAAGAAAATAATTTTAATTAAAAATTATTAAATATTTCTAGGATAGATAACTTACCCGATCGGAGTTCTCATTGATCCACTCGATTTCCGGTGGAGGATTTCCGGCCACTTCGCAACGCATACTGACAGTAGCCCCCAGATCAGCTTCCACACTCACAGGTCGTTGACGAAAAACAGGACCAACTAAAAGAAAATATTTCAAATAATTTTTTAGAGAGTTTCCAAATTAAAGAGAAAACTATCGATATATTTGATAGCAAAGTAGCTTTATTATTTATCGATAGTTTTATAATTTTAAAATATTACTTACAGCTTATATCCAAAGTTTTGCTTTGTTCGCTTTTTCCCACAGCATTAACGACTTCGCATTTGACTATCGCATCATGGTATTGCCTTGTGACATTGTGAATGATCTGTAAGATAAATTAGAATTAGATATTTTAAGATTTTATTATTTATTTAAAATAAAGAGTTAAGAAAATAAGGCAAAAAAACGATTGAGATTAAGAAAATCTAAGAAGAAAGCAGCTTTAAGTCAAATTTCTTGAAATATCGATATTTTTTTTCAAATAATATTCAAGCAGATAGCTTGAGAATAACGATTGTTGTCAATAGAACTTTCAATTTTAAGATTTTATTACTAAATTAATAGAAAAACTTTAGAAACTTCTAAAAAAATGTTATCAAGTTACCGAAAGTTTGAGAAGTAAGCAGCTTAAAGCCTTATTTCCTAAGATATCGATATGTATTTTTTAAAAATATGTATTTTTTAAAAATACTATCGATATATATCGATATGTTTAAAAAACACTCACCATTTTTGTGGTAAAATCCCCCGTCATGAGCTCATCGTTAATAAACCATCGATAGCTGAGTTCGTGTGGGTTGGCATCCGCTTGACAGCTTAGGATGACCTCGGCACCTTCAGGGATCTTGCCACCCGCCAGGGCGCCTCCCACCACCGACACCGTGACCTTGGGCGCATATTTCACCTCCAGCAGTAGCTTCGCTGATCGATAAGTTCGATCGGCTGTGTTTTGGGCCTGACACGTAAACGTGGTATTGTGATGCTCCTTTTTGGGGGCCAGTTTAAGGATCGATTTGGCGGTGATCCGGCGGGAATCGGCCAGGGGCTCCTTGACATATTCAATGCCCTTGGTGAGGACATTGCCCAGACCATCGATCCATGTGATTTCGGCCGCTGGCTTCCCGCCCACCGACACGCATTCCAGTTCGATTTCACGATCCTCGGTGGTGACCAGATAATCGCCTTGCAGGATTTTGGGGGCTTCGGGCGGTACGAGGACTGTCAGCTTGGCGAATCTCGACCGGATGCCCTGCTCGCCCTGCGGCCCCGGACCCACCTGACACTGATACTTGGCATCGTCGTCCAGCATCAATGGATAAATGTCCAGCGAGAAGTCACCCTCCTCATCACTGCCCACCATGGAGTATCTCTCGAACCCGCTCAGGTTACGATGTTGCCCCAAACCGAAATCATCTTTGGTCCATTGCAGGGCTCCAACCTTCTCCATCACCCGGCACGGCAGTGTGACCCTTGACCCCACCACCGCTGTTTGATCCTGCGGTTCCATGGCGAAGTGTTGTCCACCATTGTCGCCGCTTTTGGATTTCTGAGTTTCGTCCATCGATGAGGACGATGATCCCGACTGCGAGTTCGAGGACGAGGAGGAGTCACTGTGGTGCTGATTTTGATTCGATTTGTTTTTGTTCTTTTTGGCTTGGACGGCAGCGGGCTGCAGGATCAGCAGCAGGAATATCAGCAGGATCGGCAGGATCAGAGGAATTTTCTGACGCATTTTCTTCATTTTTTTTGTCAGTGTATTTTTGTTAACTGGTCTGGAAGAGAGAGAATAATGGAAAAAGGTAAGTCAATTTTTAATATTATTTTTAATATTTAATTTTTTAAAGTTAATTGCTTAAAATATTTTTATTTCATTTAATTTCTAAACTTATTTATGTTCTAAATTATTATGAGAATTATTTTTCTTTAAAAAATTTATAAATTTGTTTTAAAATTAAAATTTAAAAGCTTAAAACCTAAAACAGACAGATGAGTCCCTCTAATGGGCGCTTTAGTTTCTTAGCGCCACCTATGGGTCACTAAAACTTCTACTAATAGTCTATAGAGGGCCTATTGCCTGAAGCGCCATCTGTGGGTTAGCAGGACAACCTCATGGCAAGTTTTAAACCAAACTACCTTACAGATGGCGCCACTTAAATTCGTCATAAAATATTAAACTAAAAAATAAAATGAAAAAAATAAGAAAGTAAATCTTTATTTAAAATCATTTCACTTTGTTAAAATTCAATTTATTTGATTAAGAGAAATCCATCCTCTCCGATTTCATTTTTAATTCAATAGTTTTTAATTAAATGAAATCGAAATGAAAACAGATGCCGTCAAAAATAATTAAAAATCCCTTTTTTTCCCCACCTTCGATATGTTTTTTATGGGTCAAGTTTAAAACAACATGTGTGTCTGAAATGTGTGTACATATAAAATAAAAAAAAATCGGTAAAAAAATGACTGTGAAGCCAAAAAACCTTTGAGAGTGCGTGCACAAAAGTTGGGTTGTCAGATGTCTGGATTTGTGCCATCAAGTGCAAATGCAACTGAAAACTGCAACTGCAATTGCAGCTGCCATAAATGTAACTGGTAACGCAGCTCGTAACTACTGGCGTTAAGCTGTATGGTCTACACTAAGAGAAGTTAAAAGATCTAAGGTAAATACTTTTAATCGAAATTTGACTGAAAAATTATGGTTTAATAAATTTAAAATGGAAGTTATTATTTTATTATTATTTTAAGCTGTCATTTTCAACAGAAAATATTCTTTCAAAAGAACCTCAAAGCTAACTCTTGCTTTAGAACCACACTTTTGTCTAGAGAATGTTAAAAAAATATTATAGAGAAGCCACCCAAATTTTTTTCCAGTACATCAAAGAAAAGTCTTTAATGATTTTACTCCCCAAACTGTAAATGCAACTCTCTGCGAAATTGAAACATATTTGCAACGGACTTTGCACGCTTTTCTCTCGACTGAGCTTCTTCCTTTTTTTTGTAATTTTTTTTTTTTATTTTCTTTGCCCATATATAGTAGATTTTCCTTATTTTTTTCTCGATTTTTTACGCGTTTTTTGTCGCCTATTTTTTTGCACTTTCCACTGGCTTGTGTACACTTCCTCGCTTCTCCACTTGCCATTTTCCCTCTCGGCTGAATTGAAACTCGCACACACACACCCACTCACACACACACTGAAAACAGGCCGCCAAACATATGTATGACATATGGGATAGGGGCGTCTTACCGCCCACTTTGCCACAACGCCCCCAATGCCCTTACGCCTCCTTGCCCACATTTTCTTGTCAGTCTGTGTTTGGCCTTGGCATTTGTGGCTTTTGTTTATTTTTCGCTTTTTTCGAGGGCCTTTCACTTTTTAATCCTTTTTTGCCCAAAAAGTGTGAAAGAGATATCTGCTACACTTTAAATTGTATATATATTCCTGATCAGGAACAATCAGAGAGTCAAAATCTATTTTTTTTTGTCATTTTTTCTGGGGGTCCCCTTCAAAATTTTGAAAAATGCATGGGAGCCACCATTTGACCCACACTGAAGGCCATATCTTTGGCAATTCTTATCCGATTCTTGAGCGGGGTACCTTAAACGATTTGTATATCGATTCTCCATCGATCTACATCAAAATCTAGCAACAAAATATTTTTTAGATTTTTTGTGATTTTTTCTGGGGGTCCCCTTCAAAATATTGAGAAATGCATGGGAGCCACCATATGACCCAGACTGAAGGCCATATCTTTGGCAATTCTTATCCGATTCTTGAGCGGGGTACCTTAAACGATTTGTATATCGATTCTCCATCGATCTACATCAAAATCTGGCAACAAAATATTTTTTAGATTTTTTGTCATTTTTTCTGGGGTCCCCTTCAAAATATTGAGAAATGCATGGGAGCCACCATATGACCCAGACTGAAGGCCATATCTTTGGCAATTCTTATCCGATTCTTAAGCGGGGTACCTTAAACGATTTGTATATCAATTCTCCACCGACCTACATCAAAATCTAGCAACAAAAATTTTTTAGATTTTTTGTGATTTTTTCTGGGGGTCCCCTTCAAAATATTGAGAAATGCATGGGAGCCATCATACGACCCAGACTGAAGGCCATATCTTTGGCAATTCTTATCCGATTCTTGAGCGGGGTACCTTAAACGATTTGTATATCGATTCTCCATCGATCTACATCAAAATCTGGCAACAAAATATTTTTTAGATTTTTTGTCATTTTTTCTGGGGTCCCCTTCAAAATTTGCATGGGAGAAATGCATGGGAGCCATCATACGACCCAGACTGAAGGCCATATCTTTGGCAATTCTTATCCGATTCTTGAGCGGGGTACCTTAAACGATTTGTATATCGATTCTCCATCGATCTACATCAAAATCTAGCAACAAAATATTTTTTAGATTTTTTGTCATTTTTTCTGAGGGTCCCCTTCAAAAGTTTGAGAAATGCATGGGAGCCATCATACGACCCAGACTGAAGGCCATATCTTTGGCAATTCTTATCCGATTCTTGAGCGGGCTACCTTAAACGATTTGTATATCGATTCTCCATCGATCTACATCAAAATCTAGCAACAAAATATTTTTTAGATTTTTTGTCATTTTTTCTGGGGGTCCCCTTCAAATTTTGAGAAATGCATGGGAGCCACTATATGACCCAGACTGAAGGCCATATCTTTGGCAATTCTTATCCGATTCTTGAGCGGGCTACCTTAAACGATTTGTATTTCGATTCTTTGGTATATTAATTGATCTCTATATTAAATTTATCGCAGGAAGTCTAAAAATATTTAATGCCTTTCGAATTTCTTTATGTAAAACTCTTCATAGGCTGATTTTTCTTTCTTGTTAGTTGGTTTTATGATTTTTTTTATTTTCACCTCTGAACACTCTCGACAGGTAAGGTAATCCTAACGATTTCATTAATTTAGTTCCTTTTTCTTTTTTTCCCCCTTTATTCTTGTTGTTAAAAAAAGTAAACAAAAACAGGTTGAAAGCTAACGAAACGCGTCGAAAGACAGCTGACCGGAATATATGCAACGTATATATAGCACATATCCCCCAATCCGTATCGTTTTTTCTATAGTCTTGGCTATAACTCTGTCGTATCGCTATTTCTGTTTTTTTATTTTTGTTATACCCTATAAGTTAAGGATACATTGATTTTTAGTTTGTTATTATTTATTTTAATTTATACATACAGTAAAAGCTTTTAAAAATATAGTTTTAAATTTTGTTTATAATTATTTGAACTTTTTAATTTAAAAGACTTTCTTTATTTTAAAACCTAGTTAAGGTATACTTTTGAGGTCCTTTAACTTTTGGATTGAGGTCCTTGCTGTTGCTTGTTTACCAGCACCATGATTTACGGCATTTGCACTTTGACTGCGACTGTGTTCCTCTGTCCGTAACCGTGTCCGTTTTTTGTGTCCGTCCGTCTGTCCGGTTGTCCGCCAACCTGTCCGTCCGTACTCCACTTTTGGGTGTATGTTTTTATATGTGTGTGTGTATTTTGTGCGGTTCAGAAAAGTCCGAGAATATAAAGAGCCGGAAATGCCCGGCGTGCGTATGTGCCAGGTGATATAAGAGGTGGAAAGAGTGTGGAGGGGCTTATAGTATAGCTATGGTCAAGATATTGAAGAAGGTTTTATTTAAAATGATATTGGGGGAAAATACAAGAATTAAAGCGATAAATTAAAGAGAAGAGGAAAGGTTAAATATCATAATATATTCGTTATTTTTTTTATATAAAATTTTTTAGTTTATTTTATGATTTTTTAATTTTTAAATAACCTTATTTTTAATTCTCCAACATTTCTTAAACCCGAATTCCTAATATTTCCACCACTACTGTTTTAGAAAAAATAAGTAAAGAAAAGCCAAGTGAAAACTTTGGATAGGTCGCTTGGAGCTGGGAGCAATATGCTTGCCTAAATTATTAAAAATTATAATAAAATTTTTACGACCATAAAAGGCCACCGTACCAAAGTCGGGGGCACTCCCCCCCCCCCACACCCCTTTTGTGTGTGGGGTTTCCTTTTTTTTTTTTTTGCCTAAAGACCCTTGGGTCTTTGGTCCTTGGGCCGAAAGTTGTACAGGAAATGACTGGACATGATTTTTCGTGCACACATAACTTTTGTTTTTAGTTGCGGTAGATTCTCGTTGGATAGTAAAAACCACTTCCCCGATAGTCACTTAGACTTCCCATCCCTATCCCCTTACTGCGTGCTTGGGACTTGGAGAATATCCTTATATATATACATATATATTTTTTTTCTTCTTAGAGTTTTATGTATGTACTTCCAGGCGAGACATTAAAATTACTTTCGGACTTGCAATGTCCGTGCTGTCACTTGGTTTTTATTGTCCTTGGGATCATGAATTACTATAATCACTGCGATTGTCCCCAATAATATGGGATTTGGTAGAAATATGTTGGGGAAATGTACTAAAAGGTGGGTTAGGGTTTTTTGATTATTATTTTATTTTAAGAGATTTTTAAGTGAATTTTATGTAAAGTCTTTTTAGAATTAAGGTTATAAAATTATATAAATTTCGATAACATTTTATTAAACTTTTATAGGTAATTTTATTAAATTTTGGCCTTTTTTTTAAATATTTCTGTATATTTTTTTTTGGAAAAACATCTCTTAAAAGTCTCCTCCAAGAAATACTTTTAATTCTTATATTTTTTCTTGAAATTAATATTTTCTTTATTATCGATAACTATCGATTTATTTATGCACTGGCTG